GTGCTACCTTTTTGTGTACATGGTTGTGGGTCTGTCCACTCGAACATGGTCAGTTAGAGAACATATCCCTAATGAAAACTGACTTTTCCTCCCTAGGTACCTTTTCTTGAGAAAACAGACAAATAAACAAACAAAACTTAAAACTATTAACAAAGGTACTCCTTAAGTATAGTAAAGGTTCTGAACACCTTTACCCCTAAATCAGAATTAAAGCAATAATGCCTACTCCTATGGAGAGAGTTTTTTTGTTCCTCCAAAATTCACATATTGTAGCCCAAAGCTGGTGTTTGGAATTAGACATTTGAGACATTGAGACGTAAATACAGTTAGATAAAGCAGTTCATGTAGAGTTCTTCTCATTGGGTTAGTGCCCTTGCAAGAGGAGGCTAGAGTGAGAACAGAACAAAGCGTCTCTCCAAGACTCTTCTCTGCAAACCAAGAAGGCCTGTGCTCCTAAACTCCTCATCTGGTACCTGTGTACCCCTAAACTCCCCATCTGGCACCTTTGTACCCCTAAACTCCCCATCTGGCACCTTTGTACCCCTAAACTTCCCATCTGGCACCTTTGTACCCCTAAACTTCCCATCTGGCACCTGTGGATCCCCAGACTCCCCATCTGGCATCTGATCTCACCATCTTTGAGGTGAAGAACTGTGTTATGTTAATGTTTGCTGTTCAAGCCTCTCTGTTCAAGGCATTTGGTTCTAACTGCTCAAGCTAAGATGTTCTCTCTCTCTCTCTCTCTCTCTCTCTCTCTTCTTGTTCTTCTTCTTCTTCTTCTTCCTCTCTCCCCTTCCCCCCCTCTCTCTTATGCAAGATTCTAGCCAGGGTGACTAGACAAGAAAAATAGAAGGACCCAAGTCATAAAGTAATTAATAAAACTATCTCTAATTACACTAATTATCTCTAATTACTATGATCCTGTATAGGGAGTATCCCAAAGAATCTACAGGAGAGCTTCTAGAGCTAATCTAGCAGTTTGCAGAATGTAGATCGACACAAAGATCACTTGTGTTTCTGTCCTCAATCTGTGGATAATCTGAAAGGAAATTAAGTGTTTGATTTAACCAAGCCAGTTAAAGACATGTTCGTTGAGAACCACAACACTGCTAAAAGAAATGAAGGAAGATAAAATAAGTGGGAGGACTCAGTATGCTCAAACCAGAAGTTAAGTAACTAGGGTAGTGGGGCTGCCTAAAGTTCCTTTCGAAGCTGATGCAAAAGTCTTTCCAAATCCCTGTAACCATCATTTGCAGAGCACAGCAATCTTGAAGAAGAGTGGAGTCCAAAGGCCCATACTTTTCCGACTTTAGAACTCACAGCACAGCACCGGTGCCAGTAGAACAGCAGTGACACAGAGAGCTCACTGGGCAGCCCGGGGAGGGGGAAGCACAGACAACTGAGGCTGGCGAGGTGTGGGCGAGTAGAGAAGGACGTCCTCCAACAAATGGCTCTTAGACAGTAGGTTCCCATGTGCTGGAAAAGAGCGCCACACATGAAAAGTAACTCAATATGTTCTGCCTAGTCTTTCTCAAGCACAAAATTGTGTTATCAGAAGGGGTAAAACTTAACTTTTATTCAAAAAGGATAGAGTTCTTTGGGAATAAAGTGTGTGTGTGTGTGTGTGTGTGCGTGCACATTTTCTATTTGCTTGACAAGTATTTATCAAGCAACTGTGCTATGACAGTATTCTATGCTAGGCACTAGAGATAGACTAGTGATTGAAACAAAACTTGCTCTCAGCTTCGATGGAAGTGACAGTCTGTGGGGGCGAGGCGGGGAGTAAGAAGTTTCAGAAGATAATTCCACTAAGAGATGCCCACGTGACGTGTACATGTGACATGAAGGAAAGAATAAGGGCTATCTTGTGCTGAAGATGAGGAACGACTGAGAAATCAATGGGTGAAGGCAGGATGGAGGAGTGACTAGGATTTTGGTTGTTGTTCCACAGAAAATAGCTGTCATAAAAATGAGGTTTGTGAAACCGGAGAGATGGCTCAGCATTTAAGGACACTTGCTGATCTTCAAAGGACTGAGTGTTTTCCCTAGTACCTGTGTGGCAGTTCACAAACATCTCTTACTCTAGTTCTAGGAAATCCAAAGCTTCTGGCCTCCATGAGTTTCATATAGCCACATCAGGCACACATACCTATATATAACTTAAAATTATTTTAAAAATGAATTGTGTTGTGGTATCTTTTGTTGTTGACTCTAGCAATACAGTTATTGTTTTTCCCTTCATTGCTAGTGATTGAACCTGGGGCCATATGGATGCTAAGGAAACACCCTTCCACTAAGACGCACCCCAACACCAACTATCCTGGTTTTGGCTGTGTGTTAATATGATGGTCTTCTGGAAGTTAGATCTGTCTCCAGTGTAATACAGTTCCAAGGCAGGCAAGAGTTTAGAAAGACTATTAGGTTGCCTGTCTTGCACAAGACATGGGTCTGATCATTGTTGAGTGAGAATTGGGGATAGTAAATCTTAATTTAAATCACTTATTAAATAATTCCATTATTAGATAGCTTCAGAAAAAATATGGTATCTTCTTTGTAAGTTTTATATTCTAGATCTGCTTATACTTTAAGATAGAAAATTTTCCATATAGTTTTGGTCCTTTGAATGGAGGTGACATGAAAGGCTGATGCAATTTCTGCCAAGTAATTAATATGTATCTTCTATAAAGTAGTGTCATTTATAATCAAAATGCTTTAACTTACATGGGTGTTGGCATTAACAAGTGCTGTTCCATTAGTGGCATCAAAAGAAACTACATTTAAACTTCCTGGGAGCTCGTTGATGCCTGAGATTATAAAAATGCTTTCTGTGGGCCATTTAACTGCTGGCAACTTTAGTTCACATGATTCATAGTGCTGAAAATTTAAATTCACTCTTAATTGAAAAGTGAAGTTATTTAAATTCTTTAAATGCTAACCTTTGGAAAAAATATCTGAAAAATAAAGGCCCATATGATTTTGATGGCCCACTGCCAAAAGATTATCATTTACATAAACGTCTCTTTTAACAGAAGGGCTTAATGCATTGAGCTCAAAAGGTTAGAATAGAGACTTCAATCTGGAAAGCAGCAGTAGCCGTTTGGCTTGTGAACAGCAGCATTGTTCACCACGCTGAGAACACTGTTCGCATTCAGGCTGAAAGCAGCGCTGGCATTAGGATTCGGTTAATTTGTTTCATGTGACTTGTCAGCTGTGTGTTTTTATCTAAATCTTCCTGGCCTCTCTTCTTTTTTGTGTGTAAAATTCTTAGAATAAATTAACTACCTTTTTAACTGTTTCATTTCTGATATTTTTCCACCTTTGCAAATGATACCATGTGATCATTTTCTAGGTTTTTATTACATGTTAAATGTATTCAATAATCAGTTTGAGTGCAGTTTTACTTTATTAAAAGCAACCCCATCTTAGGGAGCTTTCTGTTTTGTCCATGTGTGAGTGTGTGGCAGTACTTTGTGAAATCCACAAGACAAAATTGCTTGCCTTGTCTTCTCACCAGAGCCCCGTTCTTTCCTCGTTTGCTAATTTTGTTCTCTGGATTTTCCCTCGAATGACTTTTAATATCTGGCTACCAGCCAAGTACTGGGTCTTAGCAATAAAGTGCTGATCCCATAGAAAAGATGCAGCTGTTGCTAATCTTAGAGTAGGGTTCCATCTCACTTGGAAGATCAGAAAATGTCCTCTCCCCTAAAGTGGAGCCTCATGCAACCCAGGAGCACATACTCTTGAGTAATTGGCAAGTGCTTTGAAGAGAGTGAGCACCAGGACTTTGAAAGAGCTTCAGGAGGCTTTTAGCATAAGTAAACCCCTGTGCTGAAGCTGTCCAATTTCATGTTTGGAATTTCTGTGTATCCATGAAATTGTTCTCACCGTCAGAAAGGTGAATATGCCAGTCACCTAGTCAGGCCTCTTCCTGGTTCTTTGTAATCCTAAGCTTCACAGGGACTGGGATTGGCTCTTGCACATTGCCTGGACTCTTTATTTATTATGAGATTTGTATGTCAATATAGTTCATCCCTTTTTATTGCTGTGCTGTATTCTATGGTGTGGACCTTCCTCTACTTCTGTGCCCACTCACCAGTTAGTGGACACCGTGGTTACTGCCAGTTTTCTTGTCTAACTGTTTGAACATCTCCGTTCCTTTATCTCTGGTACATCTTCTTATGCACCTCACATCTGCTTACTACATGACATTTAGCTGGGAGGTGTACCATGCAGAATTTGAACATTTGGCCATTTTTCTTCTTTCAAGACAATTTCTTATTGATCATTGTAATAGTATCTATTAACGGTTTTTAACAACTAAAATTCACTTTTACATTTGAGAATTTCTGCTTATCCAGAATTGTTGATTTTTTAATTATGAAAAAATATAAGAGTTCATTATCAGTTACTATTTAATCAGCTAAGCCTTATTCTTTCTAGACTACCTTCTGTGTTTTTTTTATTATACCTATGTTTATACAATAAGCATACATTGGTTTCACAATAGAAAATAATGTTTTATAGAGAAGAAAATAACCTGTGCTAACACTTTTCTGGTTTGTGTGATTTATTTTAAAAGGTCCCCCCCCCCCCCCGCGAAAGAAGAGCTATGGTGTCACATTGAAGAGCCCAAGTCTCAGGACCAGCCTCTCCCCTGCTGTGTGACACAGGTGGCTCTTAGCTCCCACCTGTGCATTTGTCCCCATCTCAGTCAGTGAGAGGGAGCAGCTGACTGTAGGGCACCTGGTGTACATGTCTCTTTCCCTACTTGTCTCTCTGCTCCGTACCCTGCTCCTGTTCTGACCTTCTTCACTGTCGCCTAGCTCATTTTGGAACTATATTATTATCTTTTCTCCTTTAGCTTTATCATCTAAGGTATTTTTAAATGAGAACACGGTGTGTCTGACATGTTCCTTGTGGACAGAAGCAGCAAGTTTAAGGATGCAGAGTCTAACTCTGGTAGCAACATTAATGGACTTTCCATTTCTTTCTTTTTGAAGAATATCAAAGAATATTCCAACAACTAAAGATGTTGAGCCACTGCTTGAAATCGATGGAGATATAAGAAATTTTGAAGTGTTTCTGTCTTCAAGGACCCCAGTTCTTGTGGCTCGCGATGTAAAGACTTTTTTGCCTTGCACCGTCAACCTGGATCCCAAACTACGGGAGATCATTGCAGGTAGGTTGTTGGGGTGCAGTTTATTTTTCACTGATGTCCTCAAAACTTTTCATGTTTCTTTTCTTTCTTTCCTTTTTTTGTTTGTTGGTTTTGTTTTTATTTTTGAGGCGAGGTCTCACTATGGAGTCCCAGTTGAATTGAGTCATTGCAATTCTCCTGCCTAGGCCTGTGAAGTGCTGGGGCTGCAGGACTGTGCCACCATGCATGGCAGATTTCCTGTTCTACCTTAGCTGGCTAATTTTATCTTTTTCATGAAAAAGTAAGAAATTTGAACCAAGATGGCATAAGGACAGGGAGTGTGGACACCTTGGAGTGTTAAGATGTCAGCTGTTTGCTCCTATGCTCCCCCCTTGCACCAAACTCTCCTTCTGGGATGTGAGCTCCCCGTTCTTTTTCACATACAGTCAGGATTTCCACTTCAGGTGCCACACGTGGTAATTGTCCCTTCGTCTGCCTCTGTTCTTAATAGGGACCTTTGTATAGAGCAGAAAACAAAATCTTTACCTTCACTTTAGGTTTTTCAACCTGATTTATATAAAACTGGGGGCTTAAAAATATTAAGGGTTAATTTATTTTATGGCACTGCTGGAGTTTGAACCCAAGGCCTTGTGTGCACAAGCAAGCACTGTGTCACTGAATATGTCCTTACCCCCTTTTTACTTTTATCTTGAGGTAGGAGCTCACTAAATTGCCCAAACTGGCCCTAAACTTTTGACCTTCCTCCTTATAGCCTCCCGAACGCAGATCTACAGCCCATACTGCAGATCCGGTGTGCATTCTGGCTTTAGAGCCTGTCATGCAGGTCTGGTTTGCATTCTGGCTTTAGAGAGACTGATGTGTACTGGAGCACACACAGCTGTATTGGAATACAAAGGTTTCGTGTGATGTCACTCATCAGACCATGCTTGAGCTTTCTGGGAGTTACTGAGGGATCACCTTCAATTAGTCTTGTCGAGTGAAATAGCGTCACAAACAGACGCTATAACCTTGCACATGTGTGGGATCCAAGGGACAGTAGGGAAGAACTTATTGGAGCCTGGGATGAGGGAGGACAGAGGACAATAATGAGAGGCCAGTTAGTGGGTACAGAGGTATAATTGGGGAGGGGCAGTAATTTTGGACTCTCCTTACACAGTAGGGTGACTATAGTTAACTGTGGTTTAGTGAGTGATAGAAGGGGCCATTTCAAATGGTCTCATCACAGAAAAATAGTGAGTGAGGTGATGAACAGGTTCATTTCCTCAGTTTGAGCATTATGAAATATATGCATCTATTAAGGAAGCATATTGTACCATAAATATGTAGTTATTATAGGACAAAAAAATCTAAACTCTCCAAGTTCTTTTTCTCAATACCTTTAAAGACTCAAAAAAAATGGTGTTTGCTAACTGAAGAAAGAATCAATGTGTAATAACTTTTCAAATAGTGAAGAAAAACAAAAACCAACCCTTTTATTTACAGCAATTGGTCTTTTTTTGTAGACTATTAAAGATTTCCCATCAACTCATTTAAACCCAACTGAAGTCACTTGCAGTACTGAATGCGTGTTCTTGTTTAGTAGCTGGCAACAAGACTCATCACTAGTGACCTGTTCTCTTTTGCCTTTTTGGGTTATGATGGGATTTTCAGATGTTCGAGCTGCAAGAGAGCAGATCAACATAGGAGGCCTTGCGTATCCCCCGCTTCCTCTGCATGAAGCCCCTCCTCGGCCACCTTCTGGGTACAGTCAGCCTGCATCTGTCTGCTCCTCCTCAGCATCCTTCAACGGGCCGTTCCCAGGCGGGGTCGTGTCCCCTCAACCCCACAGCAGCTATTACAGTGGCATGTCCGGCCCCCAGCATCCCTTCTACAACAGGGTAAGGGGCAGCCCTGCCCGCACCTTTGCTCAAGAGTCTCTTCCAGGAGGCACACGGGCTTTCTGCCTGTGGGCTTTGATACTGGTTTGCAACTGTAATTTAGATTTAAAATAGGAAAGTGTAAGGCTTAAATGTACAGTTGTATGATTTTTTTAAACAGAGTCTTGGATTTTGGAATATTCTAGACTGTCAAAGAGTCTGACTCTAAGAATATTGGCTTTTATTTATGTTCTTGATGAGGAAGTAAACACTGTGTTCAGTGGTGACTGCCCTCCATTTTAAAGGGCTCTGTGGTCTTCTTGTTTATAAACAAGGGCTCCTTTGGTGTATTTTGTGTAACAATTTATATTGGCATTTATAATAGCAGTGAATTCCTAGAGTCATTCATAGTACATATGGGAGGCATACTTCTTGAAGGATCAAATGTTATTGCCAGTTAATACCACATAAGCCATTTTTATAATTTCATTTCAAGTACCTTCAGTCATATGTAGTTCTTAATACACAATTTCCTAACTAAAAATTGAAAGCACAGTTAGCACTGGCACCCAAACAAACTTGAAGGTGCCTGTTCTCACCTAATGACACGAGTCTTGTAATGATGCTAATGACTTCCTGAAGGAAACGGATCATGAGCCAGTGTATTTTATAGAATTGTACTCTTAAATTCTTCTTTTCTCCCTGGCTAGTCTAAATTCAGGAACATACAGGAGCTAATGTTCATAGAAGGCAGCTGACTGCATGACTTTATTCCACATGAGTTGGAAAGAAAGAGTTTGGGATAAATGTGGCAAAGAAGGAATTGCAAAATTTAAATTTTTATTTTTTTTAAATGGCCATATTAGGTTTGCTGTTCATAGAGCCTTAGAAATGTGATTCCGTTTTTCTGTGTAGATGAGGCCGGCGCAAGAGGAGTCAATAGCATTTAATAGATTTATGCCATGCTCGTTCTCTGTAAAAATTAACTGTGCGGTAGGGTGCGGAATACAGATCTGTAGTTACCAGTCTTAAGAATCTGCTATAATTTCACATAAGATGGCTCAATCAATACTAATTAAAAGTGTGAAAATAAGTTTATTTGAAAAAAGAATTATGAAACCATCTAGGTTGCATTTAATATCCACTTATTTTAAGAGCAATAATGCAATATGCTTTTAAAGTATTTAATTATTTTTAAGACACTGAATTTTTCTTGTTTTGGTGTTTAGTGTTTCTATTATTATTTAGGGTCTGTGAGTCATGCCATTAAAAGTCATAGTAATTCTCTTAAACTGTCAACAGTAAAGAACAGAGACGCGGCTACCTCGGCACAGTGACGCCTAATGAATCCTCATCTTTATGTTTCTAGTCCATATAGTCTGCTAGGTGAAACTGGCCGTAAGTAAATGCAGAAGTTAAGTCTCGTGTCGGTAGCAGTTTCCCCACCTTCTAGTTTAGAGCACACTCCAGGTGTGCGGTGACACAGCTGAGCTCCAGGTCCCCACGCTCCCACGTGACCAGAACCATTTTGCGTCTTATATAACTTAATTTTTTTTTTTGTAAGGCAGAGTATTCTAATAACATTCTAGGCTGCTTTAAAGAAAAAAAATTGTAAGTTAATATGTACAAATCATGTACACCAAACCTCTTAAAATGTTAAATATAAAGAAAAAATGTTTGTGTCAACTCTTAAGGTATAAAACATATATCAGATAAACAAGAGAGTGTACGTCATCGTCTCAGCTCTGGTTTGGAGCTTACGGAGTGTGAAGGAGGTTTTTGTTTTGTCACTTGCTTTTGAATTTTGGAGTTGTGTTGGTTGGTTTCACGTGATAAATCTCTTACACTATGATTTCTGTAATTGTTCATGCCCTTTTTTTGTTACATGTTTTTCCATAGCCATTCTTTGCCCCATACCTTTACACGCCAAGGTATTACCCTGGCGGTTCCCAACATCTCATCTCACGTTCATCAGTAAAAACGAATTTGCCCAGAGATCAGAACAATGGCCTAGTAAGTATATAAAAGGGTAACTAAATATTAATCTCATAAAAGAACATGGATAGCATTAAAAGCTGTATTTTTTTTCTTTCTGAAGTAAAAGAGTACAACTTACTTTATAGTTTTCAGCGTCAAGCTGCTACTAATCTAAAATGTATATTTTCATTTCTGGTAAATACCTATGAAAGAAGAATGGCTAGCCATTTCAGTGACTAAATGTTGAGTTTTTACAACCAGAGATCTCTGGCTTGTAATGGATTCTTTTCTATGAAAACTTTAAAAACTAGATGTTTTATATCTGCTGATTTCTAGTATCTTTTAAAAGGACATCTCTATGGTATCTCTGTGTGTATATACATTAGACTATGGTTTAGCAGAAAGGATGCAGTAAGAGAAAAGTATTTCAGTCTGTGGCAGGGATTTAACAGAATAAGATTCTTTAAACACACTATTGAATATAATTAATCCAAAACAAAATACATCTGTGCCAAATATATTAGGGGTTCCTGATGATAAGCTTTAAGTAGCTATAAAAAACAAATTCCCTGTTAATATCATTTTAGTTAGATGTTGAAGTGGTGGAAGGGGACGTCCAGTCACCCTGGTGTTTGGTGTTATCTGTGTGTCGTTTAGCATCATGTCGTTCATCTCTATGTGCCTCATCCTGCCCTGTTCACCCACTCTCCTGTTTATGTTGCTAGGAAGTTATCAAGGAGGATGCTGCTGAGGGGCTTCCTTCACCCACAGACTCCTCGAGGGTAATGGAGTAGTCTTGTGGTGTGGAACTCAAGTGTCTCGTTGCTTCTGTAGCAGCAATGACCATCTTAACGCGATTGGCAGCAGTGCACTAACTCACTGATGGTGTGACTGGCAGTGTAGAGTAGCCGAGTGCTAATAATTACAGCTCATGCATCCATTCCACAGCTAATGTTCCTCCTGCATTTCCCCCTTCTCAGCGATGTGGGAAGGGCTTGTATTCCCCAGCAAGGAAGGGCTGTTTCCAGGAGTCACCACAAATATTGAGCAGTCAATTTTTCCTTAGTGCTGAGAGTTGTTTTCATCTTTAACTGTTTTTTATAAAGCCTTCACTTGGTATGCTTCATGTAGGATAGCTTTAAAAGTATTCAAAATCACCTTTGACGCTAGAGAAAGGTGCGAGCTAGATGGTGTAGACCAGCATGTCTCTAGTAACTCATTCTTGCTTCTAGGTGTCTCCACTGATGAAGTCTTCATGCAATATCCTTCTTCCTTTCTTTATTTGTGAAAGACCTAGAGCTGGTTCAGCATCTAAAGCAAGTTGTTTAAACCCTTACCCCTTAATACATTAAGATACTGAGTTCTTTAAAAATAAGGACCAACAAACTGTGGAGGAAGGCACTAAAATTATAATTATTCCCAACCTGATGTTTAAAAAGAAATGCCTGTGATTAGCAGTCATAAAATCTTACTTTAGTCAGTCAGTATGCAGTTGAAGAGTTCAGTTTGTGTTTTATGTTCAGAATATGTTATTTCATGTACATGCAGTCTCTGAAACTATACTCAAGTGCAGTAAACAGTAGAGAGTTGCAGGCTGAAGTTGCTCATCCTAAGCTTATCAAGAATGTTTAGGGTAAACATGCATTTGAGCAGGTAATAGATTTTTTTTAACCTTAATTTTCTTTGAGTTAATCCTATTAAGAGAAAAAAAGGGAACCATTTTGTTGTTTTATGAGGAGTTGATGATTCTTAAGTCTTTAACATTAGCTGAAGTGTTTGAGCAACTTGGTTATCCACCGATGACAGACCTACTGAGTCACAGCCATTCTTTTGGGTACTTAAGGATGCTGTGGTCCATGAAGCATCACCACTGTATGTAAAGTGACTTTTAATTAGTCAGGGAGCCTTTGTTATAGGGATTCATGTGTGTGGTTCAGTCCTAGGGACTAAAGTTTCTCAGTGAATTTCTGATGGAAATCAGATACTGTGAAGGATTTCATGACTTCAGTGGCACAGAGATGCTGAGTCAGCTAGGGCAGAAGTGTAGGCAAGCACTTGTAATTAAAAGGCACAGTAACTTATTGTTTCTGGGTTCAGAAAGGAGAGCATAGACAAGGTTTGGAATGAGTTTTTCTGAGGAAGGGGAATAATGCAGTTCCCGAGCCATGTTTAAGAACTCAGTAACAAGACATGAAGGCATCTCACCTAGAGCAGTGTCTGTGTGTGTCAGTAAGATAACACACTTCATGTTCTCTCGCACTAAAAGGTAGTTTGTAGCTGGTCAAGTGTTAACGGATGCTCATCATGCTTCCTGTGCTTGTAAGAAATTAACAGCGGCAATAGTTTATAAAGTGTGTTTTGTAGAAGACCAAGCAAAGCACCTCAACATTTCTTCAAAGCCTGCAAAAGCAGTGGTGGAATGACGAACCTGCCTGTCTTAGTCAGTGTTTTGTTTCTGTGAAGAGACACTGTTACCATGGCAACATTTATAAAGGAAAACATTTAATTGGGGTGACTTGCACTTTCAGAGGGTTAGTCCATGATCTTTATGGTGGGAAGCATGGTTGTGTGTAAGCGGACATGGTGCTGGAGAAGGAGCCAAGAGTGCTACATCTGTATCTGCAGGCAGCAGAAAGAGAGAGAGACACTGGGCCTGACTTGAGCATTTGAAACCTCAAAACCCATCCCCAGTGACACACTTCTGCCAACAGTGCCACACCTACTTCAACAAGGCCACTCCTCCTAATAGTGTTATTCCCTGGTGACCAGGCATTCAAATCTATTAGCTGATGGAAGCATTCATAGCATACCACCACACTGCCAGACACAGGTGCCATGGGTGCTAGCTGGATCAGCAGCCTATGGGAGAATAAGTGGTCCCTCTATACTCGAGGCTACCTCGTCCTAACTGGGACAATAGGGCTGTGTGGCCAGGATTCCCTTCATAGACCTGATGAGAAAGACCACTTATAGATGAGCCAGGAGCTGCACCAACCTTTCAGAACAAATTGTGGTGTTATTACAGACAGGATAACATAGAGGGAAAGTGAGGTCAAAAAGTTAACCAACTATGGTCTTTGCAAAATATAGGTGAGCTCATCTGTTTTTACCTCAGGGAATTTCTGATAAACCAAATGTTTGTAAAAATAATAAGTTTTCCCACATTAACATTACAGAGATTATAGTCTGCAAAGTCCAGTCAAAGATTAGCAAGTAAATTAAAATATTTGAGTGTTTCACAAAGTAGGGGCTTGAAATATAAACCCCTGTAGTGGTTTGGCTCCCTGTAATTTTATGAGAAAACATGCATGCCAGATCTTGTGAAAGTGAAGATAATATTAGACCTGAGATGTGCTCTCAGAGGACTAGAGTTAGAAAGGACTAGTAAGTATATCCTCGTCGAAGGGGGAGAAATCCCTTTTCATTATTGAAGCTTTAATCTATACCTCATTTCAGAAAGGCAGGGAGAGCAGCCCCTGGGCCGGCTCTAGCCCCCCCCCCAGGCTTCTCTAGGCACAACTGTTATCTTGGGGGCTGGTTCACCCTCCATGGCCCAGGTGAAATGTGTGGGGCTTACACCAGGTCACAGGAGCAGGGTGTACGTAAGGAGCCAGAATGCTCCGAGCCCCTGCTCCTGACTTCCCCGCATTTGGAGTTAAATAGATCTGTGATGCAGTCCTACCCTTGCACAAGCTACTCTGATTCTGTGCTTTACAGTCTTGAAAAGGCAGGCCAATTTCTTTGATCTGATTTGGGAATTACTAAATACTAGCATATTTAAGTACATTATTACTTACTAAGAATATCCCAGAGCCTTAAAGACTCAGAAGTCAAACTGCTTGAGTTAGGTGTTTGTTGGCTAATAGTTGACAGCAGGGTGTACCTCTGCCACCAGTTTAGATTAACCCAGGTGTTTCTTTACTGATGTTTCTTGGGCATGAGAGGCATTATTTATAGGAGTTTTGAGGTTGTAAATATGACCATGACTCTCTTAAGGACAGGGGTGTGACCTGGGAATCACACCTTAGGCAGTCCTGTGAACATGCAGTACACCCACTCAAACTAAGGCAACTACACAGTCAGTAGATGGAGTATTATCATGGGACCTCCATTAATATACAGTCTTAAGTTGACTGAAGTGTTGTGTGGTGCATGACTGTGTTTGGGAACTTGTAGTTTTTCTGAAAGATTTCACTTGGTGCCTTTACCTTTTCTCAGAGTTCTCACCAAAGTGTCCATTGTCCTCAACACAGATTTGCACTGCATGGCTTTACTTAGGTGAGAGCTGCTTTGAGAAAAAAGATTTACAAAATTCACAAAACACCCTTACAAACCACATAGTCTAGACATACTGAAAAGGAAAGAAAAAAATGGGTTTGTCATGAATGCATGTAATGTGTAATAAAAGTATTTTTTTTACTAATATATAAAAATAAATTCTAGGGGGCTGGAGAGATGGCTCAGCGGTTAAGAGCACTGGCTGCTCTTCTAGAGGACCTGAGTTCAATTCCCAGCAACCACATGCTGGCTCACAACCATTTATAATAGGATCTAATGGCCTCTTCTGGCCTGCAGAGCACTCATACAGAAAATATAAATAAATTTAAAAATAAATTCTAAATAATTAAAATGTACCAAGTTTATGAACTTGACAGTGTTCAAGACAATGTACGGCACACTCAGAGTGAGAGAAGTGTAAATGCATTTGAGGTACAGTGTGGGTCCTGGCTGCTGTCATGAGAAGGTCAAGTGTTGCAAGAGTCAGCTTAAAACGCTGTGGGAGTATGGGTTTGTCTCTCCAGGAAACTGTACCCATAGGTAACAGGACACTTGTGTATAAGACATGCGAAATAGGGACTGACCTACTGCTCTCAGGAGGCATATGTTCAGAAGCAGGCTACTAGCAAGAGTTTTAGGGAGCCAAAGGCTCTTCCCAGGTTTGTGGCTCTTTTAGGAAGTTGGTACCCTAACTCCATATGGCCTAGAAGTCAACTGTAGTGGCATGGTGAGCCTTCTGTTCCCCTAATGGAAGGAAGGGCTCCTTATGGAGGGGCTGCCTTGGGTTAGGTCTCCTGGATGGCATTTTGTTAGCGATTCAAACCTGCTGTGCATAGCAGCTGTGAGTTTGCTGCTCCTGGTGAGAACTATCTTTCATTGGCAGACATTTTACCCCCAAAGGAAGGAATATCGTAGCATTTCTTCCTCCTCCTGTTTTCCTTACAGATTTAGCATTGTGTACGGCTGGCTGACACTGAGTGAGCGCTTGCTGACCCACCATAAAGTTATTGTGTATGTGAAGGGCCTATCTGGTGGGATAGAACAGGAGACAAAAATGGAAGGCATCCTGCACTCACAGCCTGTGGATTCCCAGGCCACCACGGGATCACCAGTGTCTGCCTTTCTTGGCCTCTGGGAGATCACTTCTATACATTGTTGAAAAGACATGACAGATTTAGTATCAAGTGTAATTGAAAAAAATTTCAGAATTACATAGGCAACATTAAAACAGTTTCACACTTTCCAGTGTGTTCTTACCATTAGGTTTAGAGATTGAAGACAATGTTGATTTAATAATGGCATTTCAAATGAATATTAGAGCTTTTGCTAAATGGGCCCCAGCTCATGGAGTAAAGTGTGAGAAGCCAGAGGTTCCTGGAGGTCCTTTATTTCCACCGCTGCTTTAGGGCTTGCCAACTGTCTTCAAGGCAACTGTGTCCGAACCAAGCTGTCTCTTGTTTGCTCAGGAGAAGAGCTGGATGAGAAAGCTGCAGATGCGGGTAAGGAATTGGGAATGGTAGGCATTCTTTAGACTGTGCGTGCCGCAGGTGCCTACCCCCCTCAGAGACTGTGTGTACCACAGGTGCCCACCATCCTCAGTGACTGTGTGTACCACAGGTGCCCACCCCCCTCAGAGACTGTGTGTACCACAGGTACCCACCCCCCTCAGAGACTGTGCGTACCACAGGTGCCCACCTCCCTCAGAGACTGTGTACCACGGGTGCCCACCCCCCTCAGAGACTGTGCGTACCACAGGTGCCCACCATCCTCAGTGACTGTGTGTACCACAGGTGCCCACCATCCTCAGAGACTGTGTGTACCACAGGTACCTACCCTCCTCAGAGACTGTGTGTACCACAGGTGCCCACCATCCTCAGAGACTGTGCGTACCACAGGTGCCACTATCCTCAGAGACTGTGTGTACCACAGGTACCTACCCTCCTCAGAGACTGTGTGTACCACAGGTGCCCACCATCCTCAGAGACTGTGTGTACCACAGGTACCTACCCCCCTCAGTGACTGTGTGTACCACAGGTGCCCACCATCCTCAGTGACTGTGTGTACCACAGGTGCCCACCCCCCTCAGAGACTCCCTGCAGTAGTGTCAACCAGCTGAATATTATGCACCCTTTTAACAGTACTTAAGAAGTGGATTTTCATTATTCTTTTTGAATCAGAAGGAAATGCTAGTTTTTCCCCTTTTATTAAATATAACCCAAGTTGTATTTTCTTTCTGCATGGGAGTCTTTAAGCCATATTTCAGTTAATTTTTTTCTCTGAATTTCAAGTAAATGGAGTGAAATATTTTATAGATGGTCTTACAGTAATATTGAAGTCCTAGGTATAGTTAAAAAGGTTAAAAAGCAAGGACTGAAGGGATGGATCAGTGGTTGAGAGTACTGACTGCTCCTCTGGAGGACCCAGGTCGAGTTCCAGCCAATACCACACAGCTGCTCACCTCCTATAGATGACTCCAGTCCCAGGGATCCACCACCCTCTTCTGGCCTCCATGGGCACTGCAAGCATATGATATCTATCTATCTATCTATCTATATAGTAAAATATCTTTTAAGTTAAAAAGCAGGCAAACATGTTAGTGTTTTTTTTTTCCTTCCTTTTTACTTAAAGTGTCCTTACACTGTAGTGTTAAGCTTTATCTGTCATCTTTGACAGGACTATTTATCCAGCCACGTGAAGAGTAAGTTACCTAGTGCTCAAAATAACATAACACAGGAGGAAGAAGAGCCAAAATTCATTTCCAGCTAATTAACAGTTTCTAATTGCATTTCCTGTTTGGGGGCACCTTAGAGTAGACCACCATTGCACTGACTGGTCTGATACCCGTGCACATCCCTATGGAGATGTGCATATAGAGCACCTTCTAAAAGCTTACTTGTAGTAGGTAGAAGAGGTCCCCTGTGGACTCCAGATACTGACCGTGTTCAAAGACTGATGTCTGAGGGAAGGCTAGCAGAGCCTTGCTCTTGCTCACTAAAACAGCGTGGTCAGTTACTTTGTTTAAATTTATCAGTCATCTGTGGATGACTTTAAGCTTTTAAAAATATAGCTCACTGATTTTTAAGTTCATAAGAATAAGTAAGAGCAATGTTTATTTTCTTCGAAATAGAGTTCTTAGAATTCTACAGTATGGCAATCAAAGAATGTGGGTTTTTTTTTCTTTTTTACATTCCTGATTTGTTGGGCTGTAAGTCTCAAGACATCTTTTGAACAGACAATTGAGGCTTCTGTTAGGATCAACACTCATATTTAATGGTGTATTTCTGAACAATAACTGTCCTTCGAGGTAGTCTAAAAAATTAAACCTTATAAATTTTTGACAGTTTTAAGCTTATATGTTGGAAGAATATGGGAAATGTGATTTACCTAGTTTTCTTGTTTAATGTGTGATGCATGATTTATTCTTTTAATGGAAAAAATAAGTTTTAATAGTGCAACTTTAAAATTTCTAAATATCTACTAATGCCATAAAACTGGTTTTTGTATGTTTCTCACTCAGTGCTGCTGATACCAAAGTTTGTTCAGAGTGGAGGGAAATAAGAAGCTTGGTGTGGGCTGTTTCTGTGTGCAATGCGTGTGCTTTGATGGTTTATTTCACATTCATGGCCTTCACTTTGTTTCCTTCCTTCCTTAAAGCCGTGTGACTCTGGGTTTAACAGACAGAGACAGGTACAGAAACTCCTGTGACATCTCACTTACCTTAGCAGGCTGTTAGACAGTCATCGGCTACTTCATGCTGGGCTGTTTATAGATCTCTGCGCATTCTGTGTCTTGGATTCATTTCTGTAGTTGCTTTCAGCCTCTGCATGGCAGTCACTGCGACTAATCAGTTTTCAGCTTATTTAATAAATTGACTGAAGATGTGATATCAGAGTATACTGTTAACCTACTGACACCAGAAAGCAAAACCGCCACCTCAGGTAACCAGTGTTTTCATAGCTTTGCTTTGAACTGGAGGAACTCTGATGAAGGTGCATTTTCAACGTCTAATAGTTGAAACAAGCTAATGTGTGCTATGTTGAGTTTTCCCAATAAGAAAGATAAATAAATACATTCCAATTTAGAAAACCAGTCTGCTGGTTGATCTGGATTCCACAGGTGGATTTCGAATGTGAATGCACTGTAAACGTTGAAGGACTAGCATTTGGGTTCCTCGTTTCCTCTCAAAATAATATACTTGGTTTCTACTAAGAATTTGGCAACTTAATAAAATTTTTATATTTATCTTACTTTTATGATCTCTCCATTCAAAATTTATTATTTTGGTTATAAAAGTCATTTGATTTAAAAGTAATTTAACTATACATTATTACTTTATGAAAGACTTGGAAAATGATTAACATTTATCCTTCCTTCAAAGAAACTATTGCTACATATGGTTTTCAAATTAATAACTTATCAGTTGGTAAAGACCAACTTAGAAATAGGAGTCAGGCATGGTCTTAACTCCTTGGTGGAGGTGGCCTCTGCTAGGTGTCAATACTTCACAGCTTTCCTTTTCCCAACTAATAAATTCTTGGGGTAGATTTTCGAAACTCTGCCATGTTCTGTTCAACTTGCTTGGCTTTCACCCATTAATTGATGGCCGTCAATGGAGGTTATTATAATACAGCTACTGCAGCAATGGTGGTTGCCTAGTGGGGATTCTGTTTCTCTCTGCCACATTTATTAATTGGAATTCCATAAGGAAAAGTTGTCTTTTCCTCCTAATTCACTTAGTTAAGTATTAATCTTTAAGGCCAGGAGTGGTGGCATATCCCTTTAGTCCCAGCACTTGAGTGGCAGAGGTCAGCCATCTCTATGAGTACAAGGCCAGCCTGATGTACATAGTTCCAAGACAGCCAGGGCTACATAGAGAGTTCTTTTTTTTTTTCATAGAGTATTCTTACATCAAAACAAAAACTAATTTAGTCTTCTCAGTATGGATTCATGGATTTTTCCTATGAATTATAATCTATCATAATCTATATTTTATTGATGAAATTCTACTTTTGTGATTTTTTTAAACAGAAAAGAAAGTAAGCCAATATATTGAGAGCAAGGACCCAAGTTAAAGGTTTGGATAACATTTAAAAGATCAGTCTTATTCACCAGTAAAAGGAAGTGACATGTGACAAGATGAATGAGCCTTAAAACAACATGCTGAGTTAGAGTCAGAGAGGGAAGGACACATGTTGTACAGTCCCATTCATATACAGTGTCTAAACAGACATTTCAAACCCGGAGGTGGAAACTAACTGATTGATTGCCAGGGACTAGGGTGGTGTTGAAAGACAGCGGAGAGACTACTAATGGGAACAGGAGTTTGTTTCTTTTGAAGGTGATGGCTCACAAACCATCATATAAATATGTAAATATCTATGTAAATAAAGTTAAAGTCATCAAATTAGTCAATTAATGTGGGTGTTTCATGGCACATGAAGAGGAAATCAGCATGGTATTTAAAATTCACATATTGATAGTGCATAGTGTACACGGAACACTGACTGACTTACTAGGCAAAAAAGGGCTGTGTGCAAAGATATGAAAATTCAAGTATGAAAAGACTAGTCTTTTGCTGTTAATATTTTAAAGGCAGTGCAACTTTGGACCATGTAAGATATCATGCATTTTATAGTTAAATAAAAGCAAACTACAAATGAGTGTATTTGATGCAGTTTGCTCCAGGTCATCCGTTTCTAAACTTTGATGTACCTGTGTTGCTTTTGTAAGCTAGGTAGAGCCTTGACTCATGAAGTTGCTGCTCCTGCTGTCTGAGTTCCATCTGTCACATGCACACATGCATGCATGCACGTGCACACACACAGTAGATGTCCGTGTATTTCTCAGGTAGTAAAATTATTTATGTTTTCACACTACAGATAAAGTTTGACTGTATCTAACAGGCATTTTTAAACTATTGGATAGTCTACTGTTTCTTGACACTGGTAAAAGAGTCAGTAGAACATTTATTGAAACATTTATTTACCTTTCCCTGCCTGACTGTCCTGGAACTTGCTATGTAGGTTATGCTGGCTTTGAACTAGGAGAGATCCACTTGCCTCTGCTTCCTGAGTTCTAGGATTAAAGGTGTGTGTCACCACTCCCAGCCAAACTTATATTCTCTGAAGGAGGTGATAAGTCCTATTTCTCATATGAATATTATATTGAAGGGTAAACAGGGCAGATCAGAATGCCATCACCTTTATTGCATTTTCTGTATTGTGGCTTTTCTCTTCAGGGCTATAGCTTCTAGAACCCTTTTTTAGAAATAGTTGGAGCAAAGAAAACAGTACATTTATATAAAACCTGATCAGCTACACTTTGGTCCTAGTCCACCACTCCCTAGATTCTGGAAGCCTGACTATCAAGGCAGTGCATAGAGTGTTTTTAAGGTTACTTAATTATTTGATATAAGCACTTAAAAATTATCCTTAGAGGTTTCTTTTGTATTCTATAAGTGTCGTCTTCTTCTTCTTCTTCTTCTTCTTCTTCTTCTTCTTCTTCTTCTTCTTCTTCTTCTTCTTCTTCTTCTTCTTCTTCTTCTTCTTCTTCTCTCCTCCTCCTCCTCCTCCTCCTCCTCCCCCTCCTCCTCCTCCTCCTCTTCCTCTTCTACGTCTCCTTCTCCCTCTTACTCTCCCCTTCTCCTCCTCTTCCTCCTCAAGTTCTCTCCCTCTTATTGAGGGCAGTTCCCTTATTTCTCAAAGTTAAGTATAATAATGAGGACTAGATGTAGCCTGGTCCACAGGATGACTATCTGAGAAAAGTGGTTTGGGTCAAGCTGTCTTTCCCATAATAAATGCTATTCATTACATGTCACAGTAGCTGAGTCTACTTATTAAGGGCATTTTCTTAAATTCTATATGCACTGGCTGTGTTTTTTTTTTTTATTTCAGCAGAATAACTTAATGAATTTTTCTGTCACGTGACCTCACACACTCCATATTAACACTACTCATCTGTATTTCCCTTGGCTTACCTAGGGGTCAGCCTCCACCACAAGCACAGGGCTGCTGCTGAGTTCCATGACCGTGGATATCGTTTCTGAAAAGTTGAGGCAAATAGAAGGGCTGGACCAGACCATGTTGTCTCAGTATTGCGCAACAATCAAAAAGGTGATGTGTATGCTTCCATATTACCTAGGGAAAGGCCTGCGAGTGCAGAAGACAGGCCACATGCTGGGCAGCACATCTTCACACCGAGCCACTACATGCGACACCTCTAAGTGAAATGGGTGCTTCCTATTTCGGGTTCTCTAAGTAGATTAAAGAAAGAGTAGCTGACTAGCAGTGCTGTCTCACACGGTCTAATATAGGGATAGAATGGCACAGTGAGCATACAGCTCATTCACTGTGGAGCAGAGAGCCTGGGGAGCTCCTTGGGATGCCCACTAGCTTCAGCTGCCACACAGTATGCGGTTCTAACCCAGAATCTCTGGAACAGGAAGCTTTCTGAGCATGAAGATCAGTGTAGATTCACTGTCGGGCCTGTTGAGCTGGACTTTGTGCTGGGTGCTCAGTGAGGAAAGTCCAAAGGCATATCCCTCTATAAGTGCTCAGAAGTGGTGTTAGTTCCAGGCATTCTGGGGAAGGATACCCCCCCCCCCCCGCAGTATGTGTTTGTGTGGCTTCATAGTAATCACAGAGTAGAGTTTATTTCCTACAAAAAGTCATTTTTTTTATCATGTGAGAGTTATGGTTGTATTATGTTTGAAGAACCACATAGGGTTGGGCTTGCAAGGCTGGTGCATTCGTGAAGGTTCTTTTCTTCCATGTCTTATAGCTCCAGAGTCACCCTAAACTGGACAGTATGTCTGGAGGTGCAGTGAAGACATTGCCTACATAAAGTTAATCGCATCCAGTTGCAGATTTTTCTTCTAGCCTAAGATTTCATATCACAGTTATTGAAGTAGAACATTGTTAGCAAGCCTCTGCTGCTTGTGCATTTGATAAATTACATGCATTTCTAGACACCATGTGACTGATCTTAGCCCACATGTGGTCAGAAGTACTCAACACATGCTGGTTTTCTTATACAGCTAATCCATGCCTCTCCCTGTCCGTCTGAGTCAGTACCTCCTTCACACACACAGACCCTGCTTCTGCAGGCACATGCTTAGTGTCGGGAGTCTGCTCTCAGTCTCCGTGGACAGACTCTGGATGCTCATTCCTTTGAAATTAACCTGGAAATGAAACATCCGACCCATCCCAACATAAATGCTACCTCATTTTACCAGTTAGTAGCCAGGATTTTTCCCACATAAAATCAGAAGGCCACCTTTGAATTATGCTAGTGTTTCTCATTTAAGTGCAGCTAGAATTACAGGGCCCCCAAAATTGAAAGCCTACAGTAAGTTTAATAAACTGGAAAGTTAGAGTCTGAGCATTCTGTATGTATTGTAAGTGGTGAATCAGCTTGTTAGATAAACTTCATTTAGATCTTGGTTGGCAACTAACACACTCACAGGGTAGAAATAGTTCTTCCTCCCAGCCCCAACCCTGTGTTCATGTTAATATCTTCTCAGATTCAAAAAGCAAAATTAGGTGGGTTTGTTGCTGCCCAGTACAGAGCAGGTGGAAGCATTTGAGAGGACATGGTTGGTCCTGAAGTGTGCTTTGTTTCTCTGAAAAGCTTGACACTTAGGAAAATGTCAAGTGGTTTGTGTGGCCGAGGTGCAGCTCACTGTATTGCATGGAGAATGATGGCCACTCTGAGTGCAGCCTCTCTGAAGCAGAATTGAAACCACCAGGAATTCAGAACGCTTTTGATTTTGTTTTTGTTTTCACTCAGGCAAACATAAATGGCCGGGTATTGGCTCAGTGCAGTGTTGACGAGCTGAAGAAAGAGATGAATATGAACTTTGGAGACTGGCATCTTTTCAGAAGCATGGTGAGGTTTTACAGCATTATCAGAGCACTGTATTACATTATGTAAAGTTGTCTGCAACACTGTACAAACCCAAAACTAAGGAGTGCTGGCCCAAGCCGATAATTTTCCGTATTCATTTAAAAACTGTTTGCATTTGGTGTGTGTAACTTGTCTTTTTATCTTCTCTTCTCTTCTCTTCTCTTCTCTTCTCTTCTCTTCTCTTCTCTTCTCTTCTCTTCTCTTCTCTTCCCTTCCCTTCCCTTTCCCCTTCCCTCCCCTCCCCTCCCCTCTCCTCTCCTCTCTTCCTCTCCTCTCCTCTCTTCCTCCCTCCCTCCTTCCCTCCCTTCCTTCCTTTCTTTCTTATTTTTTTTTTGAGTTTTACACGTCTATTCTGCCCAGTGTTATGGAGAATAGTTAGAGACAATTTCACCAGTTTTCCATGCTTTTGTTTTTGTTTGTTTGTTTGTTTTGTTTTGTTTTTCAAGACAGGGTTTCACTGTAGCTTTGGAGCCTGTCCTGGAACTAGCTCTTGTAGACCAGGCTGGCCTCAAACTCACAGAGATCCGCCTGCTTTTATTTGACAAAAATGCTCTCCTTGACCAATTCCTGGAGGGTTGCTCTGAGCCCTCCAGGCATCAACCTTCACCGTCTGTCCTTGTCTATTGCTCTGTGCCAGCAGCAATACACATGAGCCACTTTGGAAAGAGCCCTACCTTCAACATAAGATCACCCTGGCACTCCTCAGGTTCCTTCTTGTCCCTCATCTTCAAGAATCTTGCCAAATTGGTTTACCCAGAATCCTTTGAAAACGAGCCTTCCCAACCTCCCGCCCACTGGCTCTGAGCACCCACTCTTTGCTGTCTTTGGAGTGGAGTGGTTTCTATCCTTAGGTCTCGATCTGGTATATAGTTCTTGCTGCTCTCCGCTCCGACTCTGGCTTCCTTTCACACACTCCAGTTGAGTTTTGTTTTTCCCTAAGTTTTAACATTTGTAAACTAAAATGCTGATACTTCTTAACATTATTAATAGGACTAAGATAAGGTCGCACTGTTGAGTGTCTTCTGGACCCTGTTGTGGTAACTGGGCACTGCTTTAACTCTGAAGCCTCTGTCGTGTGGTTTGACAATGCAGATGATATCCATCTTTTGTTAAGGTTTTGGAAATGAGGAGTATGGAAAACCAGGTAGTCCCTGAAGACCCACGCTTTCTCAATGAGAACTCCAGCGCCCCAGTTCCTCATGGGGAGTCTGCTCGCCGTGCTTCTCACAGTGAACTGCCTCACACGGAGCTTTCCAGCCAGACTCCCTACACCCTGAACTTCAGCTTTGAAGAACTGAACACACTTGGCCTAGAAGAGGGAGCCCCACGGCATAGTAATCTGAGTTGGCAGGTATTTATTTTCTGCCATTTTTCATATGATTGGAGAATAATACAAATGTGCTGGTACACTAGACGCTTGTTTAGAGAGTGCTGGCTGAGAATCCAGCTGGGCAAGAAGAAGGGATGTCTACTTAAGGGCTTGGTTTTTATCTGCAGGGGAAGAATTGGTAAAGCACAGGGGAAAGTTAGATTATTTAGAAATTGACAAAAATGGTGAAAACAGTCAAAAAAGAGAGTAAGAACGGTGGCACACGCCTTTAATCCCAGCGTTCGGGAGGCAGAGGCAGGAGGATCTCTGTGAGTTCAAGGCCAGCGCTGTCTATACAGACTGAGAATGGGGCTGTATTAGGGTGGGTGCAAATTTCCCTTTCTTTTGGTATTCTCTTTTGAGATTCAGTGACCATCAACCAGAGTACATCTGTGTGGGAAATGGCTGCTACTCATGGAGACCTTTGGTCTGGTTTCCCTTTGTGCACAGGGACACAGCACACACCACACTTGCTCTTTCATGCTGCTCAGGCTGGGCTTCAGCCCCTGGACTCAAGTGAATCTCCTGCCTCAGCATCTTGAGTGCTGGGACCACAGACCTGCACCCTGTGTGGGTTGCCTCACGCGTGCTCTCTGTGGAGATACACACGTGCTATCTGTAGAGATACTCACACACGTGCTCTCTGTGGAGATACTCTTAGACAGGGGCGAGCATCAGGAGCAGAAGTGCAAGTGAGTGATGTGCGAAGGATAACGGAGGACTAGAAGACAGTAAGCTCCGCAGAACCAGAGCAGGGCACAGGGGACCAGTGAGAGAGGCAAAGTTAGGAGCTCCAGGAAGCTCTGCCTGGGCAGTGTGAGAAGGGCAGTGCTGGCTGCTGCTCCTGGAGAGGGCTTTTATTTGACAGTGACAGTGTTTTTTCTTTTTTCTCCATTCAATCTTCATTAAATGGAGAAGCCATTTTTTTTTTATTGAATACTGACCACCACAAGAATTACTTTACAATGAGCCGAGTTTACACTTGGTCCCTTGGTGTCTCTGTTCCCACAGAAGCCCTTCCTTTCTTTCCCAGCCTCTGAGAAGCCCCTCCTCCTCCCTGCTCAGCACTGTCTCCCAGCACAGCAGCTCTCACAGCTCCCTCTGCTCTTAGGAACAGTCAGGACCTGGGCTGGAGGGACAGCTCAGCAGGGAAGATGCTTGCCTCATCCTGATGACCTCTGAGTGTGACTGCTGAGACCCACATGGTAGAAGAAGGAACCAGCTCCCCATAGTTGTCCTCTCACCTCCATGCACGTCCCCAGACTCATGTACACACATGGCACACACATACAGACACACAGACACACATAGAGGCACACACAGGCACATACACACACACACACACAAACACAGTAAAATAATAAGTACTATCAGGACCTAGAAAACTTTTGCATATATAAGTTACTACAAATAGTTAAATAGAAACTGAAAATGTTTCTAAATATCTTAAGTAATTATAGGTTAACATAAGTAACATTTTTACAAAAAAATTACTTTTTTTTTTCAAACAAAAAACGTTCATTGAGAATGGGAATGTTTTGCACATACCTTTAATGCCTGGCTTCCTAGAAGACAGCTGGTTCCCAGGTGCTGCTGCCTCACGTGTCCATCGGCAGCACACGCGTGGCTCTGGAAACTCCACCTGGCCCTCCTGTGTGAATGAGGAGAAAAGGCACAGACATCATCGTGTCTTGCAGAATGCAGTTCAGGAGCCATGGGTCCACTGCCCAGGGGCATGTGCAACACTTGAGAAC